CGGATCCTGAAGAGGACGTCATCAAGGGAAAGGTGATTGGAATCCTTTCAGTCGTTGAAGATGTGAGGAACCTCTTCCAGCTTCCTTACATCGATGTCGCCCTCGTGAGTCGAGGAAGAAGAGGATTTTTTTTTTTTTTTTTTTTTTCGGTCCATACGTCACCTTGGTGATGAGCCCAATGCTTTTGTAACCTAAGTGGATTCAGACATTGCCTGACCTTGACTATTAATGGTAATACTCTGTGTGTATTCAGCGCCTTGTCTATTGTTGTTTTTTTGTGTTGGACTCGTGCACTCCCAGTTTTTTTTTTTTTGTTTTTCTCTAAAGGAATAAATTGCTCAGTAAGAGATGTTATGTTGTCTTAGGAAGATGTCTCTGCAATCGTCCCAATGTGTTTCTTTTTTTGTTTGTTGTGAGGAAAATATTTGTTCAGCGGGTCTATTGTGGTTTTCATTTATATTGCTACCATTTGGATTGGATGTGTCTGGGGAGACACTGTGTGATTTTTGTTGTTGTCAACCATTGAACAGAGTGGATTATTGTCAGTACTGTTAAAATGTTTTGATGTTCTACTGACGAGTTAAATTAAGAGAGATACATTTCTATGTATGTTTTTACTGCATTTTACTGCAGCAACCCTGAACACTTCACTCCTCAGAATGGACTCTGCTTTAACAAGTCACTCAATTACAGTTTGTTATCTCATGCGGACAGTGTAATTTCAGTTTTTGAGCAGCCCAGAGCCAAAAACAATGGTGTGTTAGAGGGTGTTTTTTGTTGGTGCTACATGTTCAAGTTAAGGTCTTTATGATATGTTGACATCCATTGACACACTTATTTGAATTAAAAAGGCAACACTGAACAGTTAATGGGTGTGTGGGTTGGAGTTCTTCATTTCTTCAGTTATTGATATTGTAATAACAGTCCTCGATTTAAATGTCTTTTCAGCTATTTTTTCATGTGTTAATATTTAGACTAAGCTAGTTGTCATGTTGATTATAGTATACTTTGTAGCTTTAGTTGCTTGTTAAGGTAAGCTGGTAATGTTAACTTGAGTAAATTCACTTGGTACTAGAAGTTTACATGTTGAGCCAACTTGATTAACACATGTTTACGAACTCAATCAAATAAGTTTAACCAACATCTTCTTAAGTTATCTAAACTAATATTTTCTAGTCCAAATAACTTGACACATGAAGTTGTGTCAACAGACTACAAGTTGTATCAACTAATGTATTGAAGTGTAATAGACTTGACAATAAATGTTGAATCAACTTGACACAACTTAACTCAGTCAAAGCAACAAGATGACTTGACTTAGTCAAGTTGAGTCAACAAATCATTTTTAACAGTGTGCTGGGGTTGGGTTTACAGCATGTGTGCCTTTTTATATAGTTCAGCTTTGATTCAATCATCTCATTAAGCAACTGGGCAACTGTGGCTGTGAGGGAGTGCGGTCGTCTTTCAACCAGAAGGTTGTGGGTTCGATCCCAGCCCATGCAGTCAACATGTCGATGTATCCTTGGGCAAGATACTTAACCCTGAGTTGCTCCCGATGGCATGGCCAACGGTGTGTGAATGTGTATGAATGTTAGGTCCTATAGANAGTGTGCTGGGGTTGGGTTTACAGCATGTGTGCCTTTTTATATAGTTCAGCTTTGATTCAATCATCTCATTAAACCTTTTTTAAAAGCATACTTTAGTTCTGTGAAGGAATATAAGGGATATATGCAATGTACTTCACTTTTATTAATATTGTATGCTGAAAAGCGTATATTACAGCACAATCTTTTGTTGAATAGATTTGAGTGCTTCAAAATGTTTGTTTGCGATGTATTGACCAAGTAAAAAGTGGGTCCCGAGGCCTGACCAGTTGAGAACCACTGCTCTAGACCAGGGGTTCCCAAACTTTGCCATGCCAAGGACCCCCATATAGCATTATCCTCTGGCGGGGACCCCCCTGTTGCAATTTTTTTTTAAATGATGTGTACAAGTGCCTCCCGATGGAACATGCAGTGCGTTGCCACCAGTGGTGGCGGGCCCATAGGGACGCTAGGGNAGTTCGTCTTGTTTGTTTCTCCGAATGGTTGTGCCAAGCCTCAGCTCAGAAAGGATCGCTTTCACTCATGTCAGGTTTTGTTTCTTTTGTTAATTTTGTAGGCTTAAGTTTTTCTTAGGTTCTCTTTTTGTTATGCCTATATTTTTCCGCCTTTTGTTATTTCCATTACCTACTCTGTTAAGAGGGATTACTTGATCTGTGAAATTAAAATTACATTTTTTTCATCGGCAGATATAGAGCATTGTGGGATGTTGACACACATTTTTCTCTCAAGCGAACTGGCAATCGAAACCCCCGGCTCCACAGTGTTACATTCATTACTCAAATATTAATTTCTTGCTCAGCTCACATGCAACAGATTTTCTTAATGTCCTTTAAAACAGTGGTTCTCAACTGGTCAGGCCTCGGGACCCACTCTTTCCTTAGTCAATAGATTGCGACCCAACATTTTGAACCACTCAAATCTATTCAACAAAAGATGGTGCTGTGATATATACGCTTTTCAGCATACATTATTAATTAAAGTAAAGTACAGGGCATATATCCCTTACTGTACCTCCCTTCACACAACTAAATAATGCTTTTAAATAAGGTTTAATGAGATGATGGAATCAAAGCTGAACTTATATAAAAAGGCACACATGCTGAAAACCCAACCCCAGCAAGGGGGTCTGGGGGGGATCCTCCCCCAGGAGATTTTTAGAAATACTAACAAGCTATGCATTCTGGTACACTCTGAGAAGAAAATAAATAAATCTATTACTACCCGACATATTAATAATATTTTATGCCATTGTTTGTTTTTTACTTTGTTCTGACATCTTGCATCAAACCGGGGTCATATTTCATTATGTGAATAGTTCTACCGCTAAGTTATTCTCCGTGGGGACTTCCGGCAACAATCTTGATTCTGATTGGCCAGAAGACTCGAAAAAACATCAGTAAAGATATTTTATTGAGAAGATGATCACTATGTGACAGAAGTTTTCAAAACCTTTTATGGTCCCCGGTACTTCCAGTCCAACGCTGACTGAATGCACAGCGTTAGAAAATCGGGCCTTCAAAATAAAAGTTTGACTTTTTCCCAAAAAAAAAAAAAATTGTTTTTCTTCACTCACACATCTGCGACCCACTCGAAACCGGTCCGCGACCCACTTTTGGGTCGCGATCCACCAGTTGAGAACCACTGCTCTAGACCTTATTCTGTAGTCAGTAGAGCTGCTGCCATATGACTCAGTCCTTTCTTCCTCTCTCCAGGGTCGATGGATGAGGGAGTGTCTGAAGGCTTGCCGTCAATGCAGGGCACCTCTAACCCTGGAGGACACGTAGAAGACGATGAAAGGTATCGTGATTTGTTCCAACTTGCAGTCAGGCAAGTCATAAGCAGTAAAGCATATATAGACGTAGAACTCACAACTGGAAGTCTGAGACACACCTGTTTGGATAATACATTTAAGTGGCATGTTGAAATGTCAAAGACGTGATGTCGTTTAAGAATAAAGAATGCTGGCTGCATATTGCAAAAGCCTCGAGCCACAAACATGGGTGATGCATTTAATGTGAAAGCTAACGTGGCATCTAACTGGAAATCTTTGAACGTCAAACAAAGCTGACGCATTATACAACCTTAACTATGGTGGTCTGACACTCCTGAATGCCACAACAATACACGCAACAATGTGGCTGATTGTACTCCCCGACAGGTGCACTAGGGACGCAGTTGCCTAGTATACTGCAGCTGGCCATATTTTATGGATATAATCTGTTTGTACATCTGGTTATCATTGCAGCTGGGCGGCTTGTTAGGCATTTACACCACAGCAACACTAATAGAGTGGTGCAGTGATGACATATTTTTATAGTCTGACCCAGAAGTTAGCATCAAAAGGGTTCCCTCGAAAACAAACATTGGTATTTTTTCATTAGATTTTGGATTATAAAATCTGTGGCAAAGACACATTTATGACACATTTTGTTCAGCAGGATAATCTTCACATTTTAACACCACTCTGTGATGTGGCAAGGGGACAGGAAATGGTAAAATGCTAACTCACGTCTGGGTTTTAAGTCTTAATCCTGCACCACTCTATTAGTGTGGGTTAATAATGTGTTAACAGCTATCAGTTTAGTTTAGTTTATTGGTTTATAGTGTCGTGGACAGTCCCTATTGACCAACTGTCAGAAACAAATCTGAATAAGCATCTGTATCTACTTTAAGTATATATAGATTCGTATACTTGTGTACACTTACTTAAAGATCCCATGTCATGGCCATTTCCACTGATCATAATTCCATTGTTGAGGCTTACTAGAATAGATTTATATTGTGCTTAATTGATTTTCCAAAATCACTTTGGTTTCTCATACAGCATCTCTGTAAACTACGTGTATTCACTGAATTTCACTCTCTGCCTTTAACGGCTTGTTGTAGCTCCAATAGCTCCAGCCGCCACCCTCCCTGTGAGCACAGTGTGCTCTGATTGGTTGGGACGTTGTGAATCGCGCTGAGCTCCGTGGAGGTGTGGTTTCCTTGTTTAGCAATACACAGCGAAACACAGCCAAACTCACCCTGAGCACACACAAAGTCACAGCCGAAGTAAAAACAATAAGTGTGGCTTGATATTGAGTAAGGAAAAGGTTGATAAACGCTGTGAGAATGGGTCTGCAGAGAGAATTTCGCCGTGATCCCAACTGTCTGTTATCAGCCTGCAGCCAGGGAGGAGAGATCAGCAGAGCATGCACTGAGTGTGTGTGTGAGGAAGTCCGTGGATTGGTCAATTTGGACCAATCAGCGGGGGCTTAACGTAACGGCTCCACGGTTTGGTCCATTTGGTTCCGGGTAACGCATGACATCATGAGTTACCCGGAAGAATCAATGGAAAGTGACGTATCTCCAACGAGGCGTTTTGGGGAGGTATTTTCTGTGTGTTTTACTCGCTACAGGGTGTACTTTGAGGGTTTTGACTCTACAGACCGTTTACATGCATAAACACCTTCATAACACACAAGGGGACGGGTAATAACCGGAAAAGCATGACATGGGACCTTTAAATGCTACATTTCAAATGTTTAATATCCATCACTAAATTCACGACAAGCCAATTTTAACATCATGCAATAAAACTAAGACGACATTAGTTGCATCAAACTGATCTTTTTAATAAGTTGTACTTACAATATAGTGAGAAATATGGGCTTGTGCTTCACTGAGGATCTTTGTCATTCTCCAGTTATTAGACTTCGCGTTTTGAAATATGTGAAACTCTGTTAATATAAAACCCACACTGCTCAAACTTTGTTACTTTTCCTAAAAATTGGTATATTTATTTATTTTGGGGCATGGGGAATGAAGAGAAAAAAAATATGAGCATTTTATAAGCATGGGATTTTGACCCCTCATATTAAAGAGCATCTTGCAGGGTTGTTTTTTTTCTACAGTTATGCTTAAACTTGCTTGAAAATTACAATTTTAAAAAGTGAATGCAGGATTTGATATGTTTTACGAGACATAAGGGCATGAATTCAGAGGGAAAGGAGCAATTTTGAGCTCTGCTCTTAAAAACGGCTTTTTTTAAGGTCATACGCCAAACGCGTCATATTACATCACGCAGGGGACACATCTCCGCTCTCTGACCGCGGGTATAGTAGAGTTGCGTTGAGTAGAGCGGTTGTGTTTTAAGGAGCTGGTATTTTTCGGTAGTTTTACATTGTATTTCACCATTTGTAATCATGGTGCAGTATTGTGTTTGTGCAGGTTGCACAAATACCAGCCTGTCAGGACATCGAGTCCAAGTAAAAAGGACCGGAGCTAGCGTTCGTTCCTGGGTGCGTTGTGCATCCACCTCCCTGCAGCACATACTCTCCACAGCTTTATTAGGAAACCGTATTACTTCCCTCTCCCCCCCCTACGCTGCTCTCTCTCTCTCCCCTCCGGTACAGCACCGTAGTGTGGAGTTGTATTAGGTAACGCGAGATACGGCTGATACTTGCGCATTAGTTTCTGTTATGGATCAGTATCAACAGTCCTGCCAGTAACGTTACTATATTATCAATGCTACTTTAGTTATAGCCTGATATATGATAGCTAACTTCACAATGTTGTGATGTGACGTTAGCTAACATTCTGTAGCTAACGCCGGTCACTCACCAAGATAGCTGCCCAGTTCTCCACTGGTTCTCCTCACACCACAGCTCAATTTCTCTCCGATGGCCGTTATTTCTTCTAATCCTTGGCTGCTCCTGGTCTCTTGGACGCCTAGCAGGCTCATAATTATAAGGTTGTGGTCCGTCATATGCATTCGAATATTCATGTTCAACTTCTTCTGTGTCTTCTGTGTCGAAACTAGCATTGGGATCCATGTTTATTAATACGTTACACCGGCCGCTCTCCCCCTTGTTTCCCCCATGTTACGTCACACGCGGGAGGTCACGTGCCGAGGCTTTTTTATGCGGAAGTGAACATTTCTTACAAAAACGACGCCAGATGTCACTGTAGTGTATATTTCTGTATATATTTTTGAAAATCTAGTGTATTCATCTTTTTCCTACATATTTATTCACAGGTGTCTTTAACCTGGAAGTTACTCTTTAAGATCAGTCCTGTGTTTATGGACTGTTGGTTAATCAAAGGTAGTTCTTGTATTTCGGTACTCACCGTAGTCCTCTCCTCGGAGGATCTCAGGGGCGATGTAGTTGGGTGTTCCACAGAAGGTACTGGTGGTGTCCCCTGGTCTGATCCCCTCCTGGTGAGGTGTAGGAGGAGGAACAGGGTGGATTGATAATAAATAAAGTATATGATGTGCGAGAACAAAATTGATGGACAAAAAACAAAGAAATCAGTACTTCCAGTCGATACTGATCTACTGCATTATTGATCATCCACGCTAGCCGTCCACACAGTGGACTGAAAAATCAATGCGTGCCTTACCTTGCACATGCCGTAGTCTGTGAGCTTGATGTGTCCCTCGTGATCCAAGAGAACGTTGTCCAGCTTCAGGTCTCGGTAGATGATGCCCTTTTCATGCAGGAAGTTCAGAGCGATACAGATTTCAGCAGCATAAAATCTGTGAAGAGAGAAATGCACAAAATGATGTTTCTGACCTGTCCTTGAGGGCCTACATCAGGCCAAAGATCTCCTCTGGCACACAACACGACAGATTATCTATAGCCTGTGGTAGCTGCACATGTGTTGCCTTCACTCATAAAAGGATTAAAACACAGCTGGTGCTTTCACTCTCTTGTAGCACTCCAGGTGAAAAATATATTTTGCGGTTCTTTTCATAACCGCACTGTCTGTCAAGCCATTTGCATTTTGCGATGCAATAACAAACCAATTCAATGCAAAACGGCGAATGTAAACAATAACATCTCTACAGCATTTATGCTATATTAAAATGATGGATGTTAATGGAGCAGCAACCAGTTTGGCTGAGCCCTGATCGATTCAAACTCCATTCAGAAAACAAGAAACAAGGTTTGCTTGTCTTCTTCAGACAGACTTGACAAAGCATGAATTCTGAACTTTTTACAAATCAGCGTCAAGATGCATTTATCTCTTTTTTGATTTATTTTTACAAATCACTGTAGTAAACCAGATAGACGGGAATTAACACAATTGACCACATGGTCTGAAGTGCCAAAGTTGGAGAGTGCATTCATGGCCCCCAGAGGATGGACCCATTCCATTCTGAACACTGTAAGCTTTAATCATAGTGCCATCATCAAGACTACATGTCTTCTGATCAGACAGATCACCAGGGTATCTGCTGAGAACATACATGCTAAAGAAGTAATGAACCGACTTGAACCAACCACGCTTACGATCAACTTGTTAACCTTCTAAAAGCTACAGCCTCCAGGGCTGAAGACTCCTTTAACGAGGGGAAATGTTAAGTACATTTTCACTGTGCCTCCAAATCATTACTCAAACTTAAAAAAATAAATAATAGCAGCCGTGCAGCAGGCATGGTTATTTCTAAATGATCAGTGATTTTTAGAGGTGCAAAGAGCTTCCTTAAGTAGATTATCCCCCTCATGGTGAACATATATTTATAGCAAACATAACCCTCTTGTTTTGACCGTGATTGGATGTTCTTGTTGTGCTTCTTGGTGAGTCAGTAGCGTTTCCTCTCCATGTGTAGGTAGAGTTTTTTCTGTCTCTGGTAGATAAGCCTTCATTAGCAGTGACGGGCCCCCCTCTGCTGTAATTCCACGATTGTCAAACAGTGAGGGAGAGACTGTCGTGGAGAGATGTTTGACATCACAAATCCCACATCGCTCCCCCACGCTCTCTCTGTGACAGCCTCCATTGTACGCCGTGGCTCTGGTGCTTACATCAGACTGATAGAAGCTGCATCCTATCAGCAGCATCCATCGCCCACCGGCCCGCCTCTCCCACGGCGCGGGGGAATGCAGCAGGGCTCTCTCTAAGTGCGCTGCTCATGAATATGAACAATCATTATGAGTGATTAACATGCTGCTTTGCATATGTACAGCCACTGTCTCCAGAATACAGATTGCAGGGGCCGATAGGGGCCCAACGGTGCCTCTCTAAATTACCCAGCCTTTGATCCAGCATTTATCAGAGCCGCAGTTGGAATGCCCCGCAAGTGCGCAGGCACGATGAATTATGGGTGCTCATTATATTTCTCAGTGGGGGGAAAAATAAGAGTAACATTGGATGTTGGCAGCGCAGCCACGTGCATGGAGCTGCTGAAGCACCGCATTAGGGTTTATGAGGAGAAGAGGTTTGTGGTGCAGGAGCGCTTGAGACTGGGGATCTTCTAACACGTGCACAGTGCACCACAAAACGCATGATGCTTTCTTGAAACTGATGCTTTATGTTCTAGCAAACATACTACACACCCTGTGATTTACATAACATACTTTAAAGAGGACATGGGACATGTATCCATGCTTTAATGTTCAGAAGGCTCTTTATTTCTCTCGTACTGCCTGTGCTGCAGCACCTCTTTTCACCCTCTGTCTGAAACCAGAGCCCAGTCTGCTCTGATTGGTTAGCTGGCCAGCTTGTGATTGGTCAACAGCTTAGAGATGTCCCGCCCCTGAGCCTTTCACGTACAATGCAATGGAGGCTAGCCAATAGAAGCATGAGTGTTACAAAGTGATGTCACTATGTTAATGAAGAAAACAAAGGAGTCCAATTGAGGCGTTTCAGGCAGTGTGTGGGAGAGAAACTCCCTCTGGAGGGAACACAGCGATTGTAGTCTTTGTAGAGCATTAACATGCACACAAACCTATAGAACACACTGCAGAGAAGGGAAAAGCCCAACAAGCTAAATCGGGCCTCTTAAATGTTTCAACCCAAACATTTAGTCTTGTGTATAGATGTGTTTCCTGTGTAGCTACCACACACAGTCCTGTTCACCATTTACATGCTCCCCCTCGGCCAGATCATCGGACATCATGGACTCAATTTCCACTGTTACGCTGATGATACCCAACTGTATCTCAGCACCACTCCATCCTCCCAGCTCCCCCCTCAGTCTCTCATCAACTGCCTGCATGACATCAAAGCATGGATGTCATGCAACTATCTCAAACTAAACAGCAGGAAAACAGAGCTCATGGTTGTGGCACCCAAGGCGCTGCTCCAGAAGGTTGGTGACTTCATCCTCGAGGTTGAAGGCTGCTCCATCGCCCCATCTCCTGAAGCCCGCAACCTGGGTGTCATCCTCGACTCCACCCTCTCCTTCCACTCCCATGTCAAGTCTGTGACCAAATCGGCCTTTTTCCATCTAAGGAACATTGCAAGACTCCGACTGTCACTCTCGGAGTCGGTCGCCGAAACCCTAGTCCATGCGTTTGTCACCTCCCGCTTGGACTACTGCAATGGTCTCCTGTTTGGGGTTCCGAACAAAACCCTGGACAGGCTCCAGTATGTCCAAAACTGTGCTGCTAGGGTACTCACACATACAAAGCCGTGGCAGCACATCACTCCTACCCTCATCCCACCTCCACTGGGTTGCCGGTCAAGTCCGCATCACCTACAAAGTCATCCTCCTTACCTACAAGTCCTCCAATGCCCATGGCCCCCAGTACCTACCGGACGTCCTTCACCCTCATAGCCCCACCCCGGAACCTGCGGTCTTCAGGCTCTGGGCCTGCTTACCACCCCCGCATCAAACTGCGAACCTTCGGGGACAGAGCCTTCAGTGTGTGCAGCGCCCCACACTCTGGAACTCTCTCCCTGCGGAGATCTGCAACATCCCCACGCTTGACGCCTTCAAAAGGGCCCTCAAGACCCATCTGTTTACTTACTTTGCCTTTGGCCCCTAATCTATTTGTTATTTTTGTCTGTCTGACTGGTTGTCTGATTGCCTTTATTTTGTTATGTTTGTTTTGCCCTGTTCTTCCTCGTAAAGCGACCTTGGGTCCCATGAAAGGCGCTATATAAATCTAAGCTATTATTATTATTATTATACATTCACACACTTCCTCTGATCACACAGGGTGTTCCTGGAGGCCCACAGCAGTCCCTCTACCTGGTCCTGGCTTTTGACTTTTACAGTACAACATTTGGCAAAGATAAAGCGATGTAGACAAGCTATATGTGTACAGGAACAGGATGCTCACCTTGCATGTTCTTCCGGAAGCTTCCTTTGTCGTTGCATATGAAACATCATGTCCCCGCCATTCACATATTCAATCACCAGGAATAACCTGCAAAACCGAGCATGATGGGAACATCTTAGGTGTTAATAGGCAGAAATAAAGAAATACATAATGACAGATGATATCATAAGGAGTCCAGTTATAAAAGATAATATGAGCTCATCACTTTAATTTCAATCCATATGCTTCTTTAGAAGGTATATTCCACATCCAAATACAAAACACAATAAATGTACCTGCTGTAGATTATACAAACAATATTATTCCTCTATTCTGTGCAGTCCCACATAACTCTTGTTTCAGTGAAATGAACATGGCCAGGAATATATGATCTGTCAGCTTTTGTGTTTGCATTATAGCTGAGAGGAATGTAATACTATTGCTAATTCAACTCTATGTTTAAATGTCTTTGTATGGTATGGCTGGGTCCTCCATTTGTTTTTGAAGATCACCACACAAGACACTCTTCTAAAGAAAAAATTACACCACGTTATTATTTTTCACGAGTGAAAACTGAGGACACATCAATGCAGAAGGCAATTAGGAGATCATAATAATCTGAATAATATATAAGGTAATGAAAGGGAAGGAAAACTATCAAAAATATCCAGGACCAATTCATAAAATATACAATATCCACATATTAATGCACATAATGTTGTGGTTGGATCTTCGAGATGTTGGAGCTTTTGATGGATTTGCACCTTAAGAACTAAAATGGTGATATTGCATGAAATGATAGGAAATATACCAGCTTGATGATTGAATAAAGAGCAGAGCATCATCAGAGAGTATTCTGAAAGGTCCTGTCAGGTGTGTGAGCTGCAGCTGAGATGTCAGCCCCCTCATGCTCTTACCGACTTTCTGTCTGGAAACAGGAGTGAAGGCCTACTAGGAATGGATTGGTGGACGCCTGCTCGAACACATGCTTCTCTGTCTGCACCCAGTCGATATCCTGGAGAGGGGGGGGGGGAGACGGGGGGGAGATAACGTATTAACAATCAATGTGTCTGATCGATACACTTTCTCTGTGGTTAAACAGAGAGGGGGAGACACGCCATGCCACAGATACACAATCCTAAAAGAAGGGCCATTACCTCCAGTCTCTGGTCATTACCCAGGGCATTGTTAGTGAGAGATAAAGAGCCACTCCAGGTTGCAAAACCATCGCAGATCTACCCAAAGACGGGTAGCTTCCTGAGGAGCCATCATGTGCCTTTGGTCAGTGGACTGTTTTGGCCCATTTCAGAGGAAACGGAGCAGCTATTCACCTTCTTACCTTTATTTTGAAGCTCTTTTCATAACGGTATTGTCTGTCAAGCCCTTACATTTGCTTTGTGCGTCGCAATATGGAAATAAAGAGTAAGATGAAAATAACAGTATTAATGCTCTATCCAGAGCAGAGGTGTGAAACTCCTTTGAGTTCAGGGGCCACATTTGACCTCAAGTGGGCCAGAGCAGTATAATCCTATAAATAACCACAATTTCAAATTGTTCCCTTTGTTTTAGTGCAAAAAGGAGATTCTGAAAATGTTCACATTTAATGAACTATCTATACACAGCACCATACAAACTAAAGGGGGAGCTGCCTTCACTATGTATACAATGTAAGCATACCAAATGCATAAAAGTTGTGAAAACTGGGGTTCATGTCTTTTCTGCAATTTGTACACTCTGAAAAGTCAACCCGCAGGCCAGATTGGAGCCTCTGACGGGCAGGTTTTGGCCCCCGGGCCTTTGACACCCTGAATTAGACGATGTTATGTCCAAGGTTAGCCTGTTTGATCTGAACTCCATGAAGAAAACAAGAATTTAAGAAGTTGTTTTCTTGTTTACTGCAGACAGACTTCACAAAGCACCAGACCTTTTTACAAATTAGCATCATGGTTTAGGTATATTATATTGTCAACATTTGTACCCAATATTATCATGACACAAATTGGGAGAGGTTCAAAAGTTAGGTTGATATCGCTGTGTTAAACCAGATTCATGAATATAATGACCCCACGGTGTAAACCAGAGCGGCAGAGCCAATCGTGGCCCTGGAGGATAGACCCTTTCCATTCTGAAGACAAACAGTCCAGATAACTCAGTCAGCTGCTAAAAACATGTTAATGCTAAAAGAAGGAATAAAGCCACTATATCAGTGAGTTTCCTGCAAACAGATTACAGCATAAATGCACTTTCAGGTTCATCTCTATCTGAAGTTAAAGCATGCAATGAGGGGCTGACGTGTTGGAGCTGAGAGAGATGTTTCGGTTATTGTGGTAACTCTTTATATTGTGTGCAGGCAAAGACATTACAGGGATGGAATTATTATTATTTGACGAGGGTTTATCAAGTCTTTTAATCGTACGCTGCAGCAGAGTCAGACCAGTTTTACAGAAGCTATTTTTTATCTTTTTATTTTGTAAGGATAAAAAAAGACAAATATGGTTAAATCCTACATTTTTCTTTGAGTTAAAACACATAATATATTTTGAAAGTAATTGCCGGACTTTTTAAATGCTCCGGAGTTATTCTAATTGTTTGGATAACTGAGGCGAAACAGCAGGTAAAAAGGAAGGGGTTTAAATAATAAAAAAGGTTCCTTTAAGTATGGCCACTGACATGAATAACCTTCAGTATCTGCGCAAATGTCCGTTTTCCATCATTGGTATCAGACAGCTGTGGTTTGAATTGTCCGCACTTCAGTTACAGAGCTGAGTGCCTATAGCCGGAGCCGGAGATGTTTTATGCCGATTTAAAGTGTCATTAAGTTGATGATGGTTAATCTTTTATGTATATTTTGTACTTGATACTAAATCCCTCCTGGTCAACTCATTATTACTTGAGGAATCTCTAATTATGCAGAATATGCAACGACAACATCTCTTGTATTGGCTCCTTTAGTAGTTTGTCTGTGAGAGCTCCCTTTGATGTCAGTACCAAAGAGATACATTATTAAATGAATGTGCATGAGTAGAGCCATGAATACATATCACAACATTAGAAAGACTAGATTGTTTCCTTAAATACCATTCATTAGGGTAAAACTGCATTCGTGGATCTTTTGCTTTTTTCACAAGTCATTACGATTTAACAATGTTTTAAAATTAAAGTGCTTATATGCGGAAGAGAAGAACATATTAGAAGATGTTGAGTGGAGTTGTGCAGCCTGTGACAGATGTTGTGCAGATGTTGGGTGCTGCAGGAGCTGCGGACAGTGATCCTGGTTGGAAACATCAGCCTGTGTTTTCCCTTTACTGCTCAAGAGTTATCTGTTGAACAATACCGCCATCTAGTGGTCTCCCACAGCACCAACAACTGAACAATCAACAGGAGGAAGCACTCATCACAATTTAGTTTTACATTTCTTTTAAACGTTTTTTTAGGATATGAATTGTGTTGCATGAATCCAACTGCCAAATATCAGTTTTCTCAGACTGTTTTGTGTTCGTTGGTGTGCAATGATTCTCTGATGAGCTTTGATTGATTGCTTCCACCTGTTGATTGTTCAGTTGTTGGTACTGGGGGATTGCACAATTGTATTATGTATGACAGAAAAAGTTTGAGAACCACTGCCTTAACATGGTGTCAGTCTATGTATTAAAGTTAATCATCATTACAGTGTGACAATGTAGTTACCTAACTAATGTTTACTGGGGCTGTTATAGGGCCGACTTTATAACTTCAAACAGGAAGGAACGGGAAGTTTTTAGAGCATTCAACATGTATTATTTATTAAATTTGACTATTTACTATTTGATTTAGAGGCAATCACTCGTCATCTGTGTCAACATGCTTACTGTTTTTCAACTCCTTTTTCCAGCAGCAGATTTTCTTAGCCTTTATTTAATGTAACATGCTGTCATATAATGTACAAATAAAGCCCACAGTCTTGCTCATTTTATATGCTGTAATCCAGCACAACACAACATACTGTTTAAATGAGGGCTGTCAACGTTAACGATCTTTTATCTATACTTCTTCGTTATGAAGATGAAACACAGATACATTTGTAATCGATTGAAAGCACTAGATAAAATCGATTATAATACAAAACAGGAGAGTTAAGTTAATTAAAAAATAATTCTGTAGTCTCTGTATCTAACTGTTATTTGACAATGAAATTATTTGTGTATTTAAAACACTGTTTTGTTGCAGCTTGGAACAAATTAATAATTGCAAGGTATTGCTGAATAAAATAATGAGTAAAATGTTAGAGGTCAGGTGGGAAATACCCATCACAATGTCTTCAAGCCCATAGTGATAATTCAAAGTAAACCCACTTACCCACTTAACGGGAAGAAACTCAACTATCAGACAATATTAACAATTTTTAGCTAAACGAAACACAAGGGCAATACCAAGCCTCTGAATTAGCCCTGAGCAAAGAAATGCTAACGCACTTAGCACAGAACTCACGGTAGAAATAACTTAATACTTAACGGATCTGCACAAACAACATATCACATGAAAGCTGAGATTCCAAATATTCCAGAAGTATAAGTATCATCACTCTGCGACCAAAACTCAGGGCAGCGAATGTGAAACAAGACAACAAACAACTTAGCTTTACGGAGCCAAAACGGCAAAAAACGTCTTACCTTTGCTGTTCTCTGATCAAAAGTTGTGTTCAATGGCATTAAAATGTGTAAAACGCCGCTGAAGGTTAATCTAATGTATCTGTGTCAATTTGAAATGATTACTGATAATCCATCTTCATATTTATGTCAAGAACGGAGATTTCATATTAGCTGCTACGAGAGTGTATCACAGCTTCCGGTTTTGGGCATTCTGGCTACGCATCACTCATTCACCAATGGGTAATGTTTAGATGGATTTTAGGCACTTCCCCTCAATTCTATTGTCTCTAACCAGTGGCGGCTGGTGGAAAATATTTTAGGTGGGGTTGTGGAAATAGTGACCAAACAATACTAGGGGGGTCCGGGGCGATACTCCCCTGGTAAAAAAGAATTGAGAAAAGACCCCTTAAATTATGACTTCTGGTGATGTTAGAGGGGGGGGGGGAGGACAAATTGAGGCTTAAAAATATGAGAAGACTGATCAATACCTCCAATCTTCAGTGTGGTTAGCTATGAATCTTCCAAAACTTCCAAACACCTTGTCCTGGACATAGTTTCTACAGTATAAACTGTGCAACAGTACAGTAGGCCCACACAAACTGCAGAACACCGGGGCTTTGGGAACACTCAAAATTACTTAAAATGATTTAATTCCCATTTAACCTGTTAAGGGGCTTTCCCCCCCATTTTTTTCTCACGAAACTGTGTCTCTGGGGTTCTTAAAATGTAATAAACTATTCATGTGTCCTACTCATTTAACGGGAAGAAACTCAGCTAACTGATGATGTGAACCATGTTTACCAAAACAAAACACAAGTCTCACAAGAAGCGTCTAAATGAGCCCTGAGCGACAAAATGCTAACGCACTCTAGGTATAAATAAATCGATATACTTATCGGATATGCACAAACAAGTTTAGCTAACAAGCTGAGATTCCACAGATTCTAGAAATATAAGTATCATCACTGAGCGATCAGAACTCGCGACAGGGGTAGTAAATACAGACATCACACAACGTAGCTTTAGGTAGCAAAACACAGAGATATGCTCACCTTTTGCTGTTATTCTGATCAAAAACGAGAAACGTGGCTGAAGGTTAATCCATAGGTTAATCCAATGTGTCTGTCACTTTGAAAAAAGTATTTATAATCCATAATTCCATTTTTATGTAAAAAGTTTTCATAATAGCTGCTAATGATAGCTTCAAGAGTGTATGACAGCTTCCAGAGTGTATGACAGCTTCCTTTTTTGTCTCCTTGGATACGAGTCCAAACAACTCACAGACTGCACCGGGCGCTGACATAGGCATAGTTTAAAGATAGCAACAGTTGGCTTCTGCTGCACTTGCTGCACTCTCATCTGGGCATAGCGCCCAGATGAGAGAGGGTAATGACACACGGGCAAGGCC